ATTAAAATTGACACCCCAGGGAACGACATATTCGCCACCATTCTATCTAAATTTCCCAAAATAACGAAACCAGACTACAGTGAAAACACTGTCCAACATTCTGTAGTACACCGGATCATCACAAAAGGTCAACCAACTTCGGCACGTCCACGCCGATTACCACCAGACAAACTGAATGTTGCAAAAGCTGAGTTTGATCATATGATGCAGCTAGGTATAATACGTCCGTCAAGTAGCCCCTGGGCATCCCCACTCCACATGGTGCTCAAGCGAGACCAAGATTGGCGACCTTGTAGTGATTATAGATCATTGAACAACCTAACATTACCGGATCGCTACCCAATCCCTCATTTACATGATTTTTCTCTCACTTTACATGGCAAGCAAATTTTTTCTAAAATTGATCTTGCGCGAGCGTACCACCAGATTCCAGTAGCATCCGAGGACATAGCAAAAACAGCCATCATTACTCCATTTGGTTTGTTTGAATTCCTAAGAATGCCTTTTGGATTAAAGAACGCCGCACAAACATTTCAACGATTTATGGATGAGGTCACTAAAGGCCTAGATTTTGTTTTCGTGTATATTGATGATGTCTTAATAACTAGCAGTTCGATCCATGAACACGCTGATCACCTACATCAATTATTCGAAAGATTTCAGAAATATGGCATAGTGATTAATCTGTAGTGACTCACGTTTATCACGAGAACACGACTGGTTTAATAAAAACAATTATTATTACAACCAACTGTACCAGTGTTTGTTTTAATGTGCTTTTGTTTAACTGTGCTAATGACAGCTATTTTCTGCTTCCATTCCAGCCAACGCAGCCCCGCCAGGACACTTCACCAGACGCCACCTCTCCGCAGCAGACTGCCCCAACTGGCACCTCAACTCCAGGCCAACAACGGCGTCCGCAAAACAGCACACTCCTCCTCTCCTGGTTGGCAGCGACACCAAATGTAGTGAACAAGAACACAGGTGGGGACAATCGATTGTATTTAGCACAAAGATTACAGACTATCTCAATAAAATGTGAAAACCATAAAGTCAATCGTCAATTTGCAAAATATCATTCCATCATATCAAACTCTACTGTTCCCGTTGCAAACACTAATCCATTGTCTCCCATTCCATTGTACATGTGTTTTCTTACAATTCCATTATGCTCTTGCTCTTCCTTTCTTGATCTTCGCCAACTTCTGCTGCCGGACCTTACGTTTATTTAACGCACGTTATATACTACTTATATGAATATAAGTAGCTCACACCACAATACTATTGGACTCCGTCTTCCTCATTACGTCTTTGGTGCAGTCACTTGCAGAGGAACACCTGTCAATCAAGTGAACTCAGTTTGTGGTCGTTGTCCTCACGAGGGAGTTAACAAGTAACATTCATTCTATAGTAACTGTTAGCGTCTGTTTTGTTTAATATACCTTTTGTATTGCTAACGGTATTTTATTACCTTTGTTTTTACTATTTATTTATTTATTATTTGGACACATGAATATTGGTACAGGAGAGCGCCAATATATATGTGCCACACAAAACAATGAAAATTCGAGAGGAATACAAAGAAAGAAAAAAAAAGCTAAGGAGCGCAAGAAAAAAAGAGAGAACAATAACGAAGAGATTGGTGTAAGGTAATGTGCTAGTAATCAGGGAACGAAAGGTACAATCAGAAGAAATCTTTCAGGTAAAGGAGACACAACCACTTTTTATGAAGAAAGTAAAAGAAGGTTACAGCAGGATCGCCATTGGCTTCTATTCTGAGCCATATCTGATAACGTCTCTAGCCACTGTGTAGCACCATCTCTCAGACCCAAACCAGGGAGTCGTGAAGGACCAACACAAGCCAGTCCCTTGCAGATTTCTTCCATGCCACGACACCATGTCATGCACTGACCACCTCTCCGCTTCTTCCAACCAGTCCCAGAGTCGGCAAATAATCCACGACGTGGAATTCTCTGGGACGACATTCGTAGAACATGTCCAAGCCACCGAAGTTGGTGTTTCAAGATGGTGACACCAATTTTATTATCATCTCTGTGCCCGAACACACGATGCCGAACCTCTGCATTACTGATATGGTGTTGCCACTGAATGTCAGCAATCCTTCGGAGACAGCGATGATCGAACACAGAGAGTCGTCTAACGTCCTCAACTCGGAGAGGCCAGGTTTCACAAGCATAGAGCAAAACTGCTCTCACCGACGCGATGTAGATCCGACCTTTTACGGCCAGACTAACACCACGAAGGCGCCATAGATGGCCCAGATTGGCATAAGCCGCTCTGGCTTTCACTATTCGTGCATTGATCTCATCACTTTCACCCCCAACAGCACTTATGCAGCTACCTAGATACACGAACTTCTCGACTACTATCTGCTCACCATCCAGGGTGAGTACAGGATTGAAATCCTGCCAGTCTTGTAGAAGTACTTTGCACTTCGAAGGTGCAAAGCACATACCATACCTACAGACACTGATTGCCAACTGATTAAGTGCGGATTGCATGCCTTGGGCATTGTCGCACAGTAAGACAATATCGTCCGCATATTCAAGGTCGAGAAGTCTTTCTCCAAGCAACAGATCCACACCACAATTACTTACATTCATCAGAGCTGTTTCCAGAATGTCATCGATTGCAAAGTTGAAGAGGAATGCTGAGATTGGGCAACCCTGCCTAACCCCACTACTCGAATGGAACAATGGAGAAAGGTGGCTGTATGCCCTCACTCTGCCTGAGGTGTTTTTATATAGAGCCTTTATGATGTTAATAAACTTCTCAGGCACACCCTTCTTCAATAGACAATCCCAGAGAACAGTCCTATCCAACGAATCGAAGGCAGCCCTGATGTCAAGCAACACTACGATTGTTGGCCTTTGAAAAGTATGGCGGTGTTCTAACATTTGGCGGAGGGTGAAGATATGATCAATACATCCTCGACCAGAACGAAACTCAGCCTGCTCCTCGCGAGTCAATCTTTCTCGGGTTTTGAACAGTCTACGCAGCATGACGGAAGCCAAAAGTTTGGACGCAATCAGAAGTAGACTTATCCCCCGATAGTTGTTATAGGAACGACGTGAACCCTTTTTAAAGATAGGGACAACTATCGACTCATTCCATGACGTTGGTACACTCTCTAGTTCCCAGACCTTTGTAAACAACGTCGTCAATTCCTTAGTCAGAAAGTCACCACCATCTTTAAGAAGAGCCGGAGGTAAGTCATCTGGGCCAGGTGATTTGTGACGCTTCAAGAGTTGGAGTTCCTTGCGGACTTCCTCCTCGTTTGGTGGATCAGTCGTCACCGGCCATGGAGGGCAGGACAGTCTGACCGATGTTGCCGGAGCAGCAGGCCAGTTGAACTCCCCTTCGAAAAATTCTGCCCATCGTCCAAGACGTCGATGGATGTTAGTGATTGGCATCCCATCATCCTCGCAGATTGTTTCACTCACACCAGACTTCTTGCTGCCAGTGGCTCGGATGAGCTGGAAGACCTTCCGGTAAATACCAGATGCAGCTGCTGCTTCCAGCTCATTAGCACGCTTCGACCACCAGGCTTCTCGGTCCTTACGCAAGCTTTGCCCGATTTCCTTACATAACATCCTTCGTTTATGGTCAAACTCACGGTCACCCGGAGTAGACCGACGGGCTTCAATGAGTTGTAAGGAACCTGGAGAAACCCAGTGCTTAAAAGCGGGACGTTTCGCAAACCCATAACTGACTGTTCCCGCCATTTTCATGGCGTCATGCAATTGCAACCAATGCTCATCTATACTTTTCGGTGGAGTGGTAGCTAGCCTAGAGGCTAGCTCGGTTCGATACTTATTTGCAACAGAAGTTGCAACCAGCTTGGTAACATCAATCTTTTGGTGGTGGTCACTTCGTTGTCCACTGAAAAGTAAGGCAAGATTGGCGCAGACCAAGTCATGGTCAGAGTCCAGATAGGTACTCCAAAAGGAGCGGCAGTCTTGTACAAAACCACGCCAGCGGTAGCTGATCGCGATGTGATCAATCTGAGTCCAGGCTTGGGATGCAGAGGGAGGACGCCAGGTGGCACATCGGCGATGACTGTGCCGAAAGTTAGTGCTAGCCAGAAACAGGTTGTGGTCTGTGCAAAGTTGCAGTAGACGGTCCCCGTTATCTGACCTGCGACCTACAAGTCCTCATCGGCCACCTAAACGACTCTCTTCTGTGCCTAGACGCCCGACCTGAGCATTCAAGTCTCCGGCTAGTACTACAATATCTGTCGAACGCACTTTCTGGAGAAGAACAGATAACTGGTGGTAAAACTCATCCTTGATTGCATCCGGGCTGCAATCTGTCGGGGCATAGGTAGAGATGACGAAAAGACATCGTTTCTCACGCCGATTTTTTCTCCCTTTGATGGAACTCCCTAATCTAACAGCACATAACCGACTGTTAATGGGAATCCAATCGGTTAGTGCTGCCTCAGCTCTAGCGCTTAGCTCGACACCAATGCCTGCAAGACCAGACGAAGATGCCACAGGGTCCCCGGATAAGCGCACGTAAAACAAGCTTTTTGAAGCGACAGATGTAGAGCGAATTTGTAGTACTTCGCTAGAGTCTTGAATACGGGTCTCGGATAGACAACAAACATCATTATTAAGACTTTCCAAAGACTTAGCCAGCCCTATCTGTTGTCCGACCTGCATAAGTGTGCGAACGTTGAAGGCAGCCACTTTGAATGGCGCACGTGGTTTCAGAAAAACTGCTTCAGTACTCATATTCGATGGTAACATACAACTTTCAACCGAACAATGACTCGAGAACATTTAGATACAGTCGGATTTCCACCAAAGCCGAGCGGCTGTATAAGTATGAAAGAGGGTGAATAATGTGGGAAATAATAATAATAATAATAACGACAATAATAGTATTAATAATGACAATAATAGTAATGATAATTATTTGAATCGATTGATTGTTTTTGTTTTTCGGAGCGATAAAAGTAGTTGCCAAAGACATAAAGTTCATCGTTTGTGTGTGGGCTGTGATACTGCCCGGGTGCCCAAACCGAAGCAGGTGGTTATCTTAGGAGGCCACACCTCGAGTCTTTGACCTAAAGGTCTAACCCACAAGGCAGTGGAGCATCGTAAGGAGATGCAATCCCATGGTAGCCGGTGACCAAAGATTGGTTCATACGCCATTTGTTCCCGCAGGATACTGGAGCCCATGTGCACCATTAGTTTGGAATCCGGTTAAAGCGCCGGATATTCGCTTTTCGTCCTCTCATTTTCGTAAACAACACCCCCGCCACGAGAAGGCAATGAGTAGGACTTCCCTGGCAGAGGCTGTATACGCGCGGCCGTGTGAGAGTATTTCGAGAGGGAGAGCGGACTCACCCCACTCTCGGCCGTACCAGGGCATTCGGGGGCTTGTTTTTACTAACGGACAGACATCTAGGTTTCTTAATCAATAATTTGTTTTGGTATATCATTGTTAACCTAGTGTATCAATATATTTTGTGTAAGCTCCTTTTGTTTGGGGACCACCACAGCCTTCGGTCATCTGTCGTCAATAGCTAACATCAAGAATTGGGAATATTTTTCTGTTATGTGATTATCCCCGTATATTACATATGTTGGTAAGACATCGCTTGTATCGGAAAGCAAACGCTGTTTAGATAAAGTAATATTTTGTATGCTTTGGCTTACATGACGAATTCGATAAGTGAGCAACAGAAAAACGTGACAACTGGCAAGGAAATTGAGGTTAACCATCGTGGTGTGTTATTTTCAATAATCGTATCAAGTAAGGGAGTATATTTGTTAGAAGCCAACCGTGATACCGACTGTCATATGCTTGAAGGTGCGAAAAGGCATTGTATCATATTGGTGGTTTTATTCCAATAAATTGTCCGATTATGTGGTCGGTCATGCTGTTCTCATCAAAGCGAAGAATGATGAGGTTGTGTAAGGCAGTAACGTTGTCCACATGATATGTGATTTATGCAACTATCATTTTCTTTCGTCACCAAGATAGGCCCTTATGTTTGGACTGTGTCAGTTAACGTATTATATATAATCAAATTTGATGTATTAGTCTCAGTGTAAAAGGAAGCATATGGAGAAGCCATGAAATTGCTGCATGACAACTGAGAGGGTGCAACAACCGTAACATATTCACAAACTTTGTCCTCCATATCAATCAAATGACTACTTCGTATCACAGGACGATAAAACTACACGGACTATCCACTCATTCAAGCTTCCTGTGATTTTACCCAATCATCGCCTCGTAACGAAGCTGATCACCTCAAAATACCACAGCCTGGAAGACTGTCATTTAAGTAACTACAACTTCATCTCTGGCCCATCAACAATATGATCAAAAAAATAATCACTATGTTGTGAGGCTAATCAAGATTACCGGGTGAAAAATTTTGTAGCTTATTAATGTCCTTCATCTTCCGAAAACAGGCCACAGTTCTCTATCTAGCTCTTTCGAAGTTTTTTATAAACCTTTACAATTTGGCCAGTATCATTCGTTACTTAGATTATAAAAAATTGGCAGTCTTCACCATTGACTTATGTGTGTCATATTCATGTAAACTGAAAGGCACAAAAATTTATGATCGTAGTGTGCTTAAAGTAACATAGGTTGGTTTAGGAGAGATGCTGCTGTCCTCTGGTCACAAAGAGGAAAATGCTTTGAACGCCGGATCACACTACAGAGAATGAGACCAATCATATTTGCATCAGAGAAGAGTCTGTGTCTTAAGTCACATGGTGAACTCAAGGTCAGTTTGCAAAATAGGATTTTGCTCTGTAAACGACTAGTGCCATAACAAATTGTCAACTCATAGATAGTAAATAAACTCCGAATACTTCTAGCATCTTTAAAATGATAAATGTAGATGACTCTAATTTATTTTTTAAGTTTAATCTATCGCATAACAGCATAAACAATGTTCATAGGATATTCTACTGTTGTTGAATTTGTAAAAGTGAAGTTACTAAACGAGCGGAATGCTTTCTACCGTCATTTTCGAATTCAGTTTGTGTCTATGATAAATGATTGGTAGTATATCTCATTATTCATTACACTAACTGATAGATACAAGTCGTTTTTTGAATTGATCCGAATTCTAGACTGTAATTTGAAGTCACATACTTCCCATTTTTATTCACGTGTGAAACATCTGAATTTCACATAATTTTCTTCCCAAATCGACCTCATTCTTTACTGCCTAACCGTGAATTAATTCTTAAAAGTTGTTAATTTCTTTACAATATAACCTTAAGTCTAGTTTTGAACCTAATTTGGGCAGTTTAATGAACTGTGAGGAGCCTGTGTTTTCTTTTAAAATAACAACCTTTATGCTGTGTACGACGATAATACAATGATTATATATTAACATCTGGACGACATTTGGAGTACGAACACAGAAGAATTTTTTTCCAATTAGTGATAAACGGATCAGTGTATATTATCGAAGAAAGCGCCCAAACATTATAACACAACTGATGGACACAATCAACCATTTATGAACTTATGGACGTCACTGCTACGTATATATCTTATATTTTTTGGCAATAATGCTTAAATTATTGGTGAAGATTTACTATTTTGTTCCTTGACATTTATAGAAAATGACAATACTAAACTGAAATAATCTTATCCTGATAATTTTCGAGACAAAAATAAAGAATTTGTAGGGATATGCCAGCTACAACTATTGATTTCAAGTTAAAATCTTCATGAATTTGTGATGAAGTTTGTAATATTCACCAATGAAAAAGTATTTAGTAGCTTTCATAAACATTTACTGTTTTAGTAACTTGCTTACTTTTTTTTATAATGAATACTACAAAAATGTCATACACTCTGCATCGATTATAAAATCATGTTCGACTACAGATCATACACACATCAATCCATAACACTATCATAATTAATAGAAAAATAAAGAATTAATTTGTTGGTTGTTTACCAGTTAGAATACGTAACTAGGATCTTTTTGCAATTTAGTTTCATTCGAACACTTCTTGTTACGTGATAACAATTGTTGGAAGGACTTTTCAGTCGATATGATTTTGTAAGTCAGCTTCTTACCTGCAATGGATTCTCAAGGTATATGTTTAAATTATTAAACATAAGCTGCATAGTTAATGTATGCTGTCCAACTTTAATTTTTACAGGGTATACGCTCGTTATACGAACGTCAAGACAGTCTTACCGTATGGAGCTGAAACGTGGAGAACTACTAAAACCATCATCATGAAGGTACAAGTAATTATAAACAGTTGTCTATGCAAGATACTCAATATCCGTTGGCTGGATACCATCATCAACAGCCTACTGTGGGAAAGAACAAACCAGTTTCCAGATGAGGAAGAAATCAGGAAAAGACGTTGGAAGTGGATAGGACATACATTGAAATAATCTAACTGCATCACGAGGCAAGGGCTAACTTGGAATACTGAGGAGAAGCGGGAAAGAGGAAGGCCAGAGAATACACTGTGTCGGGAATTGGAAGCAGACATGAAAAGGATCAATAACAACTGGAAAGAACTGGGAAGGATTGCCCAGGACAGAGTTGGATGAAGAGTGCTGGTGGATAGCCTATTGCGTAAGTAGGTAGTACGCTTGTTAACGGCTTTAGACGGTAACTGAAAACACTAAATAATAGAATAATGTTGGTATAAGAGGAATAAATCCTTGAAGAATGCCAAGTGGAATTTGGCTTGTGTTGAAGTTGGTTGTTTTCAAGGTCTCCTATCAGGTTATAGTTAAACCTTGATACCTTCAGTGACAAACATGTACATAAATACGGTTTCCATTATCACTTTATTAGTTACTGTGATCCTTATAATACAGCTTTCATATCAAATAATTAAGGAAATTTATTAAAATTTCCAGCAAACCACCAACTTGACATATGACCGCATAACTGAAAATAACTTGAATAAATAATGTGATCACTCTAGCTAAATTGAATGTACTATGCATTCCAAGTCGAAAAGATTTAGAACTGATGAATAAGGGTGGCACTATGCATCTGACTCCTTAAAAGTGGAAACCGAATATAAAATGCCTAGTTAGCTACTTTTTGAACAGTTGTCTCCGAGCTTTATTACTTGAACAGACATAAAAGTTTATTAAGAAGAACAGAACACTGATTGAGCAGTAATGAGAGTTACAATGAAATCAACATTTATGAGAAGCTGACAGACCTAGAAAGTGAGTACAATTTCATTGATTAGCAATTAAATAAAAAACGGTTATATCAAAATTGAACTGAGTCAAATTGATTGGCGTTAAGAGGAAACTATTGTTACCCATTTTAGTAATAAACATAAATAACACTATTTATACAAAAATTAGGAACTAATTATTTCTTTAACAAATCTTGCATATGTCTTCCGTATTACAATAGGAGGAATCAGACAAATAATGATTTTTACAGCTTAACAATATTTAAAACTATAAATGTTTGACATAGACACTAGTCCACGTTGTTACATATCATATCTACTTGTAGAATACCATTCTATGAACGTTTGTTTGTTTAATTATCGATTTACTTTGAAATAAATTTCATTGTACTTCTAATTTCCTGGTGGAATTCCACTTTCTAATTTATGTTTATTCCAATACAATTTTTTTAATCATTGTTTTTAAACTTTGTTTTCGTAATCCACTCTGACAAATGATGAACCAAGAGTTTAAGCGCATTAGAATATCCTAAATGGATTTCAGGCTAACACATCTGTGAGATCAGATCTTAATTCATACCCTTAAAACATTTATTTGATTTTGCTTCCCAAAGTTTTTGGTGTTTCGGATTTCTATTTTGTAAGAGCATCATCTTACATGCCATAACTATGGTATCGTTAATTTGATAAAAATATACATCTATTGGATTTTAGTATTAAATTCTTTGTGAGTAAAGGTGATGCATGTAGACTGTTTGATTTGTAGACATAATGAATTGACAATATAGAATATAAATTAGAGAAGTAGAAGACGCGTAGGCTAATAGTTTTCAACCAGGCATCTTTGAAGCTTTCCTCGGGGATCGTGTGACTATCGATTAAGCAGTGTTGAAGTTTGGTACACATATTGATTAGTTAGTGAATCTTTACAAAATGAGGTGTTCACAACACATGTTACGTATTCATAACCACCGTCTACATCGATGAACGATGTTTGCTGGTGAAATAGGTTTTGAGAAAGTTGAAGGCTGCCAAAACAAAATATATAACATTATTTCATGCAGTCATTGACTCTTGGCTTGAGAAACAAAGATGGGTGTACATTACCTAGTTAGGTACAGGATGATAACCTCAATCAGTGGTTGGGGACGTCGAGTGACAACTCACGATCAGCAACAATCACCCAGACTCTCTACACTTTCCTCTACATCTCAAGTTTCAGTATTCGTTTATCTTTTCTAACCGTATTCTCAATGCTCCATCTTCCTCATTGTCACTATTACTATATTATTTCGATTACTTTTCAACTAATTATTTTAAAATTCCTTCGTCTTGCTAATACGATAGCAACTACTTGGTTAAATCTCTATATATATTGCAGGCTACACTTCGGTTATGATTGGTTATACTCTTTTGGAAGTTACACAAACAATTCTTTTTAACTAAACCAACACAGTATAAAAATACTACATAGTATCATCTACTTCGAAATTACTGACCAATCGACAGATTATTTACCACTTCTTTAAACGATACAATCCCTACCCAATAAAAAATGTCAACCTTCGTTCGTTATTAATTCTATTGTATTTCAGTGATATTGTGGGATTCAAAAAGTTAATAAAAATAAATTTTGAACTCTACCAGTAATGAAATCATTACTTCATTGAAATGCTTTAATCCTCCAGTTGACCGATTATCAATTAATTACGATTAAAATAAAGACAGATTAATGATTAACAGTTGTAATGTATTAATTTGACAAAAATTATTTTGCTCATGATTTTCATGTAGTATATTATGAATGAACGACTTAAAATGACTATTGTTTCGGTAATTAATTACAGTTTTCATTTTTTTTCTAGCAGTTCATTTATGAAAAAAACAACCCGACCAATAAGGTCGACCAGAACCACTCTAGTCCATTCGGCACTATTCAGTTAATTATATCAAATATTCATGTTTTATGAGTATTATATAGAATAGCTCGTCTGTAATTATAGAATGATTTAAACAGTTTATGTCACTTAACAGCTTCAGGTACTAAGTGACATATTTTGGATGTGTTCAAAGAAATCGCAATTAAATGAAGCCAGTGTCTTGACATCGCCACGTATATATTAATCTAAAATAGTTAGGTCATTTAACGAGTTTGGAGGATGACTGACTAGGTTATGCAAAATCCACATACAAACTAATTATGCGGATTAAGTTGACTGAGATACCGTTCGAATCGAAGGTAATTTGCAAATGTTTTCACCAATGAGTCTTTTGGATTAATATAAATGCAATTTTTAAAACGAGTACAAACTGTTACAGATGACACTTATTGGGATGAAAATACACTGAACGAATCACGAAAGTAGGACAAATTACATTCTGAATTTCATTGCTAGCTACAGTATCACTACTACGTTAAAGTATTCGCTAAAAAATTGTGATGGGATGGAAGCTGATACTATTAACTTATCATGTGTTGATTAGCAAAATCCGAAAATTTCGATTTAATCCATAGAAATGCGTACAAAGATTGATTTAGCCATAGACTAACATTAAATGCAGAAACAACGGAGAAATCATTGAAAAATGATTAGCTACACGACGTAGGCTTTAGACAATTCAACAGTGTACGTTCACAACATCAACAATAATTTTAGCAGTGTAAACAGCGAGTTCATACCAGAGATATCTTAACCTAATGTCACGGGTAGATCAATGCCACAAACCCGATTTGTTTGATTTTAGATGTCATGGTTTCTGATCAGAAACTCAGAAGAGTCAACCAAAATCAATTCACTAGTGAAGGTTGGAAATATTACTGACTGGTCAGAGATTAACCTAATTTTCATCCTAACAGATACTGCATTCACTGAAGACTTAATAACATCAGATATCATATCTGAAAGTTTGAAGATTATGTTTACATCTCTGGAAACGTATTATAGAGTTGAATAAGCACATACTTGCAGGGTGAAGACATTTATTTATTTGAACACAAATAGTGGTATATAAAGGGGCGCTGAATACATATGCGTCACACGAGTCACTTGATTCGTGTGTGAGCCGTGATACTGCCCGGGTGCTCAGACAGAAGTAGGTGGTCTTCTGAGAGGGCCACAACCGTAGCGTTCGACCTAAAGGTCTGATCCACAGGGCAGTGGGGAAATTTTAGGAGATGCAGTCCCATGGTAGCCGGTGACTAATAATTGATTCATACGCCGTTTGTTCCCACGGGATACTGGAGCCCATGTGCACTATTTGTTTAGAATCAGAGTTATTCAACTCACCCAGGTGGGTCCTCAATATCCACCAACCCAGTTAGAGTGCCAGACATTCGCTTATCGTCATATCAATTCCGTAAACAACACCCCTGCCGCGAAAAGGCAGTGAGTAGGACTTCACTGACAGTGGTTGTATGCACGTGGCCACTTGAGAGCATCTCGAGAAGGAGAGCAAACTCCCCACCCTCGGCCGTATCAAAGCATTTTGGGGCAGGGTGAAGACAATGAGTTCGTTGTTACATCGACGACAAATTCAACAAGAGATTTACACAAAACACAATATTTATTGAAAAATATTTGTAGAAAATTCAGAGAAGAAAATAAAACGCATAAACAGCCAAAATAGGTTGTTTATATATATATATATATATATATATATATATATATATATATATATATATATATATCACAGAAAAAAGAATGACAGATAGGTCAACAATAATTTTCACTAACCAGGCCATAAATTTTCCAAATAAAACAAAAACAGATCAAAAATGCTACAGACCAGCTTCTTTCATCGAGTGTTCAGCCACATCAATTTTCAATTTTTCCCAAGTCCAGCTTTGAGTTGGCGAAGTATAATCACATGATTTCACAAAAACTAATCGGTTTTTCGGATCAGAATCCAAACAAGCTCCACTAGCTCCAAGAACCAAGTGTAGGGGGTTCGATTTATTACGATTAGTTGGTCGAATTTTCCATTGTTGATTACCACCTTGGCCATGACATGGATACAAGATTACTACGGCTTTGTTTTTTGAATCAGGTACATCTAGACAGGATTCTCTGCAAATGCGTAAATAAGGAAAGCATGAAAGTAAGCAAAGTCAAAATAATCGTCAAATATAAAAATCTGTTGAGAAATAGTAAAGAAGGGTTATTAGCAAAAGATGAAAAAGATAACATTGCGGGATAAAATATAAATGACTATAGACATTTGTTTAACAAGTTAGGCAATTAGGCTACCATGTGATGAAACCATTAGATTAGCAATTTTAAGATAAGTTTTAGATAAAAAATAACTAGTTAGACAATTAATTTTTAAACATACATTGACTGAAGTGGGCAGGTATATTGGATTATCGTCGGCCATATGATTGAGATAAGAAGGATGTTCTAGAAAGTTTGAAAATACCACGAAGCGATACCTGTCCGTTTATTTTATTATTTAAACCATATAGCCAGTTCCTATTTTTGCGCTCTTATGAATTAGGGTAATATGCGTGCGTGGTTTCACGCTGATTCATCTGCCTATCTTATTATCAGACACATAACGCCAACGTATAAATGAATGCAAATTAGCAGTTAGATAACACGACATATTGTCACTAATGTAAATCGATACAGACAACTAGAGACCCGAATTTGATTCGAAAAACGACAAGATTTTAGATAAAAGAAACTCAAAAACTATCAGATATTTTTAGAGGCATTATATTCAAGTCAATCTGCAATCAACAGAAATATTAGCATGACTATAGCTAATCAATGACAATATGACATGTTATAATCTGCTAAAACAATCGATGGGAATAAAAATACTGAAAGGAGTTACCAGATTTAGGAGACCAGTGACTGTTCAACTAATATCAATCCGTGATGTAATCAACAAGACCTCAGCATTATTGGATGAGATACGACTTCCTTTACTTTAGTTGAAGTTACTACTTGGGATAATACAACGAGAAGACGAAATTTATCAAAGCTACGTGATATACATTAGGGTAATATACTTCGAAAAATATGATCCCATATTTAACTAGTTGAGGTATTTCTGTGAAAAAGGAAAACATCAAGCTAGACAAAAGTAAACACAGAAACAAAAAAGATATCAAGTAGGTATCATTACCAAGGTGTGACTTGATAGTTTCGAATAAACTGAGTGAGAGAAGCATAAATCATTCCAATCGATATTAAATTCAAAATCAGTATTATCAAAGTAAGTTCAAAATAAGTACAAACCGTTTTTGAAGACAAAGGGAATTCGGATTCCCATATGGCTTATAAGGTTACCTAAACATTCATTCAAGAACATCTTTACATTAGAGTTCCAAGTATGATTTGATATCAATACTGTGACGTATTTTAGCTAATTATTTACCAATAGACGAAGGTGGTTCTTTTTTATATGCTCCTAGTGAAATCAAACGGTTTTTATAACCACTTCGGTACATGTTCGGCTACCTTACACGTAGAAGATTACTCCTTTCTATGTACATGTGTCAACAAATGTAGATAAATAAGCACAGTGGGATGTGATGCATTCGTTTACATGTTGATTGGGTTTTTAGTGATGCATTAAATTGATCTTACATTATCGACCAGTAGGACATTTTACGAAATCCAGCTAATAATTTTTGAAATAAACGTTCGCAGAGATGTAAGTGTTCAAAAATTTATTGAAGCCCTACGAGCCATTGCAATAACTTTACCTTTTCTCAAAACAGCAGAAAAATTACTGTCACTCAAAATTTAACCTGCACTAAAAAGTACGTTAGTCTGTATCAGTTTGCGTACAAATGCAAATGAAGCACTTTAGACGCCGTTGCCGTTTTGCATAACAATAGAGTATTCATCTTGGAAAAGGGTAACAAGTGCGTTCAATGTGCTTTTCTAAACTAAACCTCTGCTTTTGATTTCATCTCAAGACAATTTCTATTTACCAATTTAATCAGAGTCAACACTGACAACGAAAGAAACGAAAACGGTGAGAGATTTGCAAATCTATGTGCCTTCAATAAACTGGTCATAGGCGGCACCATATTCCCACATAAACGCATACAAAAAACCACGTGGACTTCACAGGATCACTCTACACAAAACCAAATCGACCATATTTGCATCAACAAAACGTTCAGGAGGACTATAGAGGACGTGAGAACCAAGAGAGGAGCTGATATAGCATCAGATCATCACTTGTTCGTCGTCAAGATGAAATTGAAACTCAAGCAGTACTGGACAACGGAGCGGACAATATCACAAAAGTTCAATACAGCCTTTCTTCAGGATACTAACAAACTCAACAAATTCAAGATAGTCCTCAGCAACAAGTTTCAGGCCTTTCATGATCTACTCAATGGAGAGAGAACTACTGTGGAGAGCAACTGGAAGGGGATCAAAGAGGCAATCACTTCAACATGTCATGAGGTCCTGGGCCACAAGAAGCACCATCACAAGGAATGGATCACTGTTGATACACTGGATAAGATTCAAGAAAGGAGGAACAAGAAAGCAGCAATCAATACCAGCCGAACAAGAGCAGAAAAAGCCAAGGCACAAGCTGAATACACAGAAGGAAACAAACAGGTGAAGAGGAGCATCAGAACCGACAAACGTAAATATGTGGAAGATTTAGCAACGACGGCGAAAAAGGCTGCGAGAGAAGGAAACATGAGACAATTGTATGACACGACAAAGAAACTCTCTGGAAATCGCCGCAAACCAGAACGATCAGTGAAAAGCAAGGAAGGCGAGGTAATCACCAGCATTGAAGAACAACGAAACAGGTGGGTAGAACACTTCAAAGAACTCTTGAATCGACCAGCCCCACCGAACCCACCCCAATATCCAAGCAGCACCCACAGACCTCCCAATCAATGTTGGTCCACAAACAATTGAAGAAATCAGCATGGTCACCAGACAAATCAAGAGTGGCAAAGCAGCAGGACCGGACAACAT